AAATAATAATAGCATCTGCTTCAACAGCTTGTTGTGAGGATCATATCCAATAGCATGTAGAGTACATTGCAAACCTAAAAGCACTAATGAGAGCTAGCTGTTCTTTCCAAACGTGATAAAGCCAGATCCTGAGGTCAGTGAAACTGTTGGGAAGCACAGGCAGAATCTGTTTTCTTGACCCCTTGCTGGAGCAGAAGGAAGCAACAATTGGTGAGGCTTAGGGAAGGAGCCTCAAAGTGGACTGTCCTTATCTAGAAATGGGGGTCTCTGTAGCAGGGAGGTCTTTGCCTGCTCACTGGTGGCTGGGCACGGTTTCATAAATTATAATGTCTTAGAGCAAAGTCTGGCAGAAACCACTCAATTGCAAGGCCCCCTGACCACCAGGCTGGGGCCTCGTGGGAATGAACAGACCAGTGCCATAGGCAGCAAATAAAATTAATGTGATGGGGGCTTATGTGCAGAGCTCCCCCCATTCCTCCCTGACTGTATCAAGCTGGCCATTCACCTCCAAGACAAATACTCTCCCTCCAAGGCTAGAAGGAGAGGCAAGATTCTTCAGGGATGACATAAACACCTATATTTTTATATTTCCTGACCACATAAGCATGGAGAGCAGAGTTCCTTGGCAGGCCAGCCAAGCTGGCAAGGCAGCCTTCCTCAAAGGGCTCCCCATGCACACCTATCTCAAGAGCTCACGGCTTACCTTCACCCCCAAAGGGACAGAGAGGCCTGTGGCAGAGGCCCAGCAACCTGCCTGGTGATCAGTCTCTGTCCTGAGCACTTGTTAATGGAAGGACTGAGGAAAAAGAATATATATTTCTGCCCTCTGGAAGCCCCCAGTTTGTTGGGTGAGTTATATCCATTCACTCCAAGAGCACTGTTAGGCACCTTATCAGGCACTCATCAGGTACAAAGACAAAAATTAAATAGTCCCTGCCCTCAAGGAGCTTACATGCTACTGGAGGAAAACAACATGCACACAGACAAATAAATACAAAATATCTACAAAGTAAATACTCATATTTAAGGAGCATTCAGTCTGTTGGGGGAAACCACTGCCCAGCCCTCATCTTTGTTTTTTTAGCTTGGCAATGGGGTTAAGTGACTTGTCCAGTGTCATACAGCTAGTAAACATCAAGTGTCTGAGGTTGGATTTGAACTCAGGTCCTCCTGACTCCAGGGCTGGTGCTCTATCCACTGCGCCACCTAGCTGCCCCTTTTGGTTTCTTTGTTCATTCATCACAGCAAAATTTTAATGACCTTCTAGCATATGCAAGGCATCAACTGTATTCATCTCTTGCTCTATAATCATTCACAGGATCATAGATCTAAGGCTAGAAAGGATCTTAGAGGCCATTAAGTCCAACCCTTTTATTTTACAAATGAGGAAAATGAGTCCTAGGGAAGTGACTTCCCCACTTACAAAACTAGTTATATCGGAATTTGAACTCAGATCTTCCTGACTCCAGATATAGCCCTCTACTCACTATAACACCTAACTGTAAGAAGGTACCACTTTCATTTTTGAGCAGTTTGGTTGCTAAAAAGGGTAGAAAATGAACTTTTTAATAAAGAAAAATTAAATGAATTTATTTGATTGTTTTTTCAGTCATGACTGACTCTTCATGACCCCATTTAGGCTTTTCTTGGCAAGGATACTAGTATCCTGGCTTGCCATTTCCTTCTCTAGCTCATTTTACAAATGAGGAAATGAGGCACACAGGGTTAAGTGACTTGCTCAGGATCACAATAATACGTGTCTAAGGCCACATTCAAACTCAGGCAAAGAGGAGTCTTCCTCATTCCAGAGCCAGTGCTCTATCCACAGCACCACTTAGCTGCCTACGACTGGTCTTAGCCCAGAGCAAAGAGCATAGACTACTGAGGCCCCAAGTTCCTTGGCTCCTAGGTCTGCTCTCATCCCCTCCTAATCAAAATAGGGTGTTGACTCTTCACCAATCAAGATTGGTTGATTCTGCTTTCTACAGGTGAACCTATATGGGAAGACTGGGCAGATCCTAATGGTGGAGAGAGTGTTCCAGAAAGGCCTCACTTATTCTCAAATTATCTCCAAACTCTGCAGAGGAAATTCCCACCTTAGTCTCTCCTCTGGTGAAGACAGTGCTTCCCAAACTAATTTGGCCAAAGAATATTTTGGGGCTTGAACTATATTGATGGAAAACATAAAGCCTTGTCCAAGGAGAGCAGAATTATGGAGGGGCATCAGGATAGGCAGGGGTATTTTAGGAAGTTTAAGTCTATTTTCTTATCCAAAATGTTTTACATAATAAGCATACTTGATACATATAAAGGCTAAGTTCTGATGTTGCAATTTACCTCACTGAATCACTTAATCTCTCTAAAAGTCAGTCTCCTTTTCAGTTCTGATTTTCTATGATTCTGTTATAACCCTTATGACACGAAAGACCCAGGAACACTTTAAGGACTTCTAATTTCTCTCACTTTTTGCCCCAACCTAGAAGGCCTAGAAATTTCAATATCTGTCATACTTTCAAGAGTAGTTGTTAGCTCCCTTTACTGTTTGAGCACCCAGTCTAAAAAACACAAAGAGTTTTTTTAGCCAAGACTCATCTCTGAGACCATTGAAAATCAAGACATCTTTTAATCCATTCCCTAGAAACCTATGTAATCTCCATTGAATTACAGTATTGCCCTGGCTAAGGCACTGATAAAAAACAATTGAGGTTTTTTCCCCACACAACATGGTGCTCCCTTCCATGGTGCCTCTATCTGTGGCAGGTTGCTTATTTCTAACAATTCCCACCTGGTACACCACTGCTATTTCTTACTGGTCAACACTTTTTCCATCAGCTCTCTTTGGTCTTGGCTCAGGCTGCCGCCCTCCATAATTTGGTAGCCCTAATTTCCTTGAGCAGATGGTACTTATCATCTGTTGAGATGAACACACAATATTATTTTGGTTGTACTTAATTTCATCCTTCATCAATTCATACAAATCTTCCTATATTTCTCTGAGTTCCTTATATTTATCATTTCCTACTCTATAATATTCCATTGTATTCATGCAATAGCTTTTACCCTGTAATTTCATAATTGATGGACAACCAACTTTGTTGCCAATTCTTCATTACTACAAAAAGTATGACAATAATTTGTGGCTCATGGCTCTCACTTTGTTTGCTGTTCTCAGTAATTCATCTCTCCTCCCACAGATAGCACTGTAACCTTTTCCCAGGGCCAAGCTCTGCAAATTTCTGGAGGGAATATCTGCTGCTGCTTTCCAGGGTTATTGAATGTTGTTTTATTCCAAGATCTCAGGGAAAGTTTAAGCTGGAGATTTATAAGCTTTCAGCGTTCCCAAAGTTGCCCAATCAGGGGCCAAGTCTGATTGCTGTTTTTCTGATCTGAGTGCTACAAGTTCCTGACCTGGGTTTGAGTCTGAGCAACATGCCTGTGGGCTTGCCCCATTTAGAGTTCCAGCAGACTTAGCCACAATCTGTGAACTAGAATGCTTTCCTGGTTCAGAGTGATAGAACTGTAGGATTCCCTTTGGTCTGTGGTTCTTGCCCTGGTTATTCCTTTGCAGGCTTCAGACTAGCATAGAGGCTAGAACTAAGACCCCACTGCATTCCTGGGGTCTAAGCCACACAGCTGTTGCTTCCTTCTTAACTTCTTCATTGCTTGATACACAGGCTAGGAGTCCCAACTGCTCCTTACCCTGGAATGCACCCCTAGGTACAAGTCCCCTCCTCAGTCTGTGATCCAGAACAGAACTGACAGATGGCACTTTTTTTCTGTATCTTATACAAGTTTAGGCCCCACTGTACTGAATGTAGGACCTCTTCTTTCCCTGGCCAACAGCCTTTACTGGCTCTAGAATATTCTGCCCTGCATGCTCCTCCAGTATCCAAACACCTCTCAGTCTATCTCCTCATGCTGATCAAAGCTGGAAAAATTATTCACTGTGACTTTTTTTTTTGCTGCAATAATTGGGGTTAAGTGACTTGCCCAGTAACAGCTAGTAAGTGTCAAGTGACTGAGGCCAGATTTGAACTCAGGTCCTCCTGACTTCAAGGCCAGAGCTCTATCCACTGCACCACCTGGCTACTCCTTCACTGTGACTTTTTAAATTGGATTTCCCAATCAGGATTCAGTCTGGTGGCATTTCTAGATCTGTTCAGAGTAGTTGAAGGGTAGGGGAAGAGTTTTTTCCTTCTACTGTGTCATCTTGGTTCTGTCACTTAAGCAAAGAGAATTTCAAAGCTGGGTGTGAGAAAAGTCTTTGTGCTATAGAGTATCTCTTTTAATATATTTGATTTTATTCTTTTTGCTCCTATAGTAATAAATAAAGAACTATATACAATTATACCACACTTGTACAATTGACTTCATTATGCTTTGCTCACACAGTTAGGTCCATTGAAATTTAGCAGTCAAGAAAAAGGAAATGGAGGCTGATCTAAGGAGTCGAATTGGGTGGATCCACAGAGACCATGTCTGTAATGAGATTAGCCTTGAAGAAAAGAACCAAGGGTTTGCCAGTTCTCCAAGAACTATAGAGCTTGATTTTTCCTAGGAGTGCCCCTGGTATTGGATAAAGGACCTAACACCAGGGTAAGCTTGAGATTACCAGTGCCTGCTTCTTAGAGTTGAACAAGATCAGGCAAGCAGCCAGCAACACCACCTGGCGGCTACGTCAGGAAATAAGAAATTATGCCAGACACATCAAAGAAAGATGACCTGACCAATACTCCTTAAAGTCCTCATGTACACAGGAATATATAAGGCCAGGGTAGGCATAGTACTGCTCCCTCCCTTCCACCATCATCCCCAGGGTTTTAGCCTTCATCCTAGATTCCATTGCTGACTCAGGCTCATCTAACCAGCTCAGCATTCCCGTGGCAGCTACTGACTAAATCGATGGATTGTTCGCTTTTGTTAGAGGCTTAAGTTGCCAATTTGGCTAACTGACCAGAGGCTTCTGCTACAGGGGTTGTGGGCACAGGTCACAGGACAGTATAAGGAGCAAGGTCACTGTCTGGTAGCCTGACTGCTCTTATCATTACCGGTTGTTCAGCAAGGGTCTTTGGCGAAGGACATGCCCAGGTAAGCTGGCTGAGGGGGCACTCCAAGGAAGTTCTGGGGAGCCAGGAAACCTGAGTTGGCACCCAACTTCTCTTGGGGATTCAGAAAGGAGGTATGGAAGAATTCCCCCTATCATTCAGGATGGGAGATACTGTTATGAGTGTGTTTATTCAGGGTGCCCAGTCAGCATTGAGGGATTCAGCTTATACCCTCTGTTGTATTGCTGTAGTTTATATGTTGCTTTGGAAGCACTCTTAAGGTTATCCATGTTTGTCCTGCTTTATTCTATCAGACTAGAAGCTCCCTAAGTTTAAACACCCCCCAACAGATTATGAGTTTCCCAGTGGTAAGCCCTCTATCTCTCCTATCACACTGCGAGTTTCCTATGGACAGAGACTCTGTCTTTTCCAAAGATTTAAAAAAAAATCACTGCTTTTTGTTATTATGTAACAGTGATTTCTGAGGAGGGGAAAAACCTTGCTTTTTAAGAAAAAAAATCCCAGTTTGTTCCCCACTTCTCAATTGTGAGGAAACAGAGATGCTTCATTATCCATTCTCTGCAACCATCATCGGTTTTTCATTTACTCAAAATTTGACTTTTTTTAGTGATCTTTTTATTTAGCTTCTTATAATCATTAAACACAAATGTTCTTTTGTTTCTGCTTTTTTCATTCTGCATCAGTTCATACAAACCTATCCAAGTTTCTAAGAATCCCTTGTATTTGTCATTTCTTACTACATAATAATATTCCATTAGAGTCATATAAATAGTTTTTTTCATTACCATTTCCTAATTGATGTTTCCGAAGTTCCAATGTTGTTTCCAGTTCTTTACCACTACAAAGAATACTACAATTGTTTTGTATATGTTGAAGCTTTGTTTTTATTTTTGGCTTCCTAGGGGTTTATGCCCAGCAGTGGGATTGCCGGGCCAAAGGATATTGACAAAATCTCATTTATTTTCTTGCATATCTCCAAATTTGTATTCAGAACAGTTGAAGCAGTTCAGAGCTCCACCAACTTGTATCTGTTTTCCCATAGTCCCTCAAACATTGACTCTTCTTGTATTTTGTCATCTTTGTCAATTTATAATGTATGTGAGTTGAAACTTCAGTTGTTTTTTCATTTGCATTTTTCTTGCTGTTAGTTATTTGAAGTATGTTTTTAAAAACTCATTTATAATCCTTTGGAAATTTGTTTATATACTTTGACCACTTATTTCTTGGAGTTTTATTGTTATGTATCTCCTTTAATTTCCCATGTATCTTGGATATCAAACATTTATGACTGACATTTGATCCAAATGCTTTTCTCACTTGACAATTTCTCTTCTATCTGCATCGATTTTATTCATGGCAAAAGCTTTTTAATTATATGTAATTGAAATTGTCTGTTTTGTCTTTTATGTCTCACTCCCTTGTTTGGGTGAGAAGTCTCCTCCAGTCATCATTTTCAAAGTTACTTTCTCCCATTGGCCTCTGTTTGTTTTACCATGTAACGTTTTATATTCAGGTTAAATATCCATTTTGGCCTGATTGTTAAATATAGAGTAAGATATTGGTCTGAATCTAATTTATGCTACACTGTTTTATAGTTTTCCCAGAAATTCTTATCAAAAGTGAGTTCTGGGGCAGTTAGGTAATGCAGTGGATAGAGCACTGGCCCTGGAGTCAGGAGGACCTGAGTTCAAATCCGGCCTCGTACACATAACACTTACTAGCTGTGTGACCCTGGGCAAGTCACTTAAGCCCATTGCCTAGTCAAAAAAGAAAAAAAAAGTGAGTCCTTCAGCTAGTAACTTGTGTTCTTGGGTTTATCAAATTATTGACTAGGGCAGATAGGTGGCACAATGAATAGAGTACCAGGACCGGAGTCAGGAAGACCTGAGTTCAAATCTGGCCTCAGACACTTACTAGCTGTGTGACCTGGGCAAGTCACTTCACCCTGTTTGCCTCAGTTTCCTCATCTGTAAAATGAACAGAAGAAGGAAACGGCAAATCACTGTAATATCTTTGCCAAGAAAACCCCAAATGTGGTCATGAAGAGTCAAACAAGACTCAACAAAAACTATTTTTGATTGTTTCTCTTTCTTGCTTATTCAGTATTTTTTGATGTCCTTTTTTCTGCAGCATTAAATCATTTGGATGGTCCACATAACTTTTCTAAGGTACCTGTTTCAGGGCTCAATACCATAAGGAATTTCTTTCTTACCTCTGACTAGAATCACTATCTCTGAAGCATGAACACCTGTCATCTTGGTCTGTCCTCAGAACAGCTACTCACCCCTGTAACCTCTTCTCCAGTCATAGAAACACACCACGTTTAGCCCTTCGCATTTAGAGGCGGAGCTAAGGAGAAATGGGACAAACATGAGATTTTAAAACAGAAAATGTGTGTCCAAACCTTGGCTCTGCCTTTTACTTATTGGTCGTGTGACCTTTGGCATGTCACTTCAACTTTCTGAACCTCAGTTTCCTCATCTCTAAAATGAAGATAATACCTGAGCTATCTACCTCCCAGGGTTGCTAAGAGCATTAAATGAGATAATGTATGCAGGGTACTTTGTAAACCATGAATGAATGAATGAAAATTTCCTTCTATGTACCAGGAATTCTGCTAAGCTCTGAGGACACAAATGTAAGCCAGAGAAAGACAATTCGTACAGGGCAATGATGGTCAAGAAGGAGGGTTTTGGACAGGGAAGCCAGAGAGAAAAGTGAAGTGATGAATGCCATATATCTCTGTTCTCTGTACATAACTGTGAGCCATTAATATTGAGATGCCTTCCCATAACTGTGAAGCCCCAAATTGGTCCTGGACTCAGAGCTGACAGCAGACCCAGCTGTACCTTACTAGATTCAAAGCAGACTTGCAGCTTCTGTCGGATTTTTCCAGGTGTCTGGAGAAGGGCTGGCCAGTGGACACCTCGAAGACAACAGCCTTCTTCAGCCTCTGCTACCACCTGCTGCTCGTTCCTAGACTATGGGCAGACAGAGTGTTCCCTCGGGATGATGCCTCTTTTTACTATGGGACCTTCCCTCCTGGTAAGTCCCTATGTCTCTGCATATTCCATTCATGAAACTTGGTGGGGGAAAGTCAGTGGTGTCCTGGAGTCAACCCTTACTGACTTGGGACAGCCAATTACTACACTGTTCAGTGGGAGCTTTTTACACCTCAGAAATCAGCAAACACAACAATTCAGGAATCGATTTATTGTGTTGTTGATTGTCTGGCCTTAAGAAAGTGATGCAGAAAATATTAATGATGCAGCTTCAGTGTTAAACATTTAGTAATCTACCTCTGGGCTCAGTCATCTTCAGAAACAAGTTGGCCACTCATCCCTGCTCATCCTAGCAAAGGCAAACTCCTCAGTAGATAATGGGGTGTGTGCCCAGTGTGAGGAATTAGCAAGGGTCTGACCCTACCTTCTTTAGAGGAGATATTTCAACTTAGAGGCTGTTGTTTATAGGCTTCTCATGGGGTGCTGGAAGCTCAGCCTACCAGACCGAAGGGGCCTGGGACCAAGATGGGAAAGGCCCAAGCATATGGGACACCTTTACTCATCGCCAAAAGGGGAGGGTTTTCATGAACCAGACGGCTGATTCATCTTGTGAAAGCTACTACAAAACCCAAGTGAGTATAGGTTTCGCTGACTCTTTCCCCCTCAAAGAGAAGAGATGGAAGGAAGAGGTAGGGAAGACAGAATAGGAACGTAATAGAAAACTGGACTTGAATTTGAATCCTGGCTTTGCCACTTTCTAGCTATGTGACCTTGGGCCAATCAGTCTCTCTGAGCCTCGGTTTTCTCATCCAGGGAGTCCTGGAACCAATTCCAATCCCTGACATATACTGTTGTATGATCTCCTCCCTCCAAACAAACACACAAAACCCCCAAATTTATGAGTGTAGAGTACCACTGGGAATTAAGAGGCCTGAGTTCTAGTTCTGATTTCAGCTCTAAGCTTAGGCTAGTTACAACCTCTCTGGGTCTGTTTCCTTACATCTAGCAGAAGTGGGCTAGAAGAGATAATGTCTTGGGTTCCTTCTAGTTCTGACATTTCATATTATAAATACCTTCTTTTTATAGGTAAAAAAACTGTAGGAGCTAAGGGATTGCTAAAGACCCCATATCTATCAATTGGAAGATTTGGCACCAAAGCCCAACGCCTCTGACTATTAGCCATTACATTTTCTGCTACCCAAGAACTCTGGGGTTCTAAGTCAATTTCTGCTATGCCTAATAAGTGACACTATAATATCTTTCTCACTTCCTTGCTCCAGCAGTTCTTCCTGTCTCTATTACAGGATGATATCAAATTACTGAAAGAGCTGAATGTTAGTCACTATCGAATTTCTATATCCTGGCCTCGGTTGATACCCACAGGGGTCAAAGGTAAGTGGGTCAGAACATTCCCCGGTGAAATTATGCCCTCATTAGGCTACAGTCCCTGAAAAGGCCAAAAGGTAACAAGAACACATAGTCAAAATGCTTGTTTAACATCCACCTTTATTGTTCATTCAGATGCAATAGAGGAGACTATTAGTAAAGTTCCATGCTTTGGCGGACAAGCAGCTTCCAAATTTTGCTTACCTCAAAGTAATGATTGCTAAGTCTCATTTGGTTTCTCTTGTGGTTCAGGCCACAGATAAACGGAAGCTTTCATAAAAACACTAACACCTAACAGCTCCTAGGTAAAAGAAGTATTACTTACAAGAGGTAAGAAATTTGGGGAAGGGCTAGGTGCAACATTTTCAGGGAGATCAGTCTGTTTTGGAATTCAGCTGTCCATTACTGGGATAGAGGGATGAGGAAAAGATCACCTACTTTGTTATCATCTGTAGTAAATGTTTAACAATTCATTCTGTCAAAGAAAACACTGTATTCTGAGTTTTTTTGCAAGGCACAAGTCTACTAGAAAAAAATACATTTAGTTTATTATTAACCTAATATCAAAGCATTTCTAGCTTAGAGAGAGAGAAGTCCAAACTGGCATAGTTCTATGTGTGCAGACACGTTTCTCTACCCCAAGATGATTCGAGATACTATTTATGGGAATTTTGAAAAAGAAAAAGAATATGTTAAAATAGAATTTTAGTTCAAATTCCAAAACAGTAATAACTACTTGGTTCCTACCTGGCCTTCTCCCTTCAAGAATTGAAAAGGGTTTCTTCCCAGTGGTCCATATTTTTCCTTTATGAATGGAGGGATGGGCCTTAGCTTTAGGAAATGGAGAAAAAATGACTGTCCTTAGATGTTATTGGTCCTTCATTTTTTGAAGAGGATCAGTGACATCACTGTGATGTCTCGACTTGCCGGTGAATTGGATTTAAGTGAGGCAGAGCCATGCAGTCTTCAGCCTCACTTTCTCTTCCTGAGTCACTGACGTTCCAGGGCAAAAGGCAAGATGGCTGGTGATTGCCCAGGGTGCAGTGGACGACCTTGGCATCTTCAGTGCCTGACCAAGTTCTAAGCAGTGCTCCACGGTGCCTGCTTCAGCTGCCTTCATGGCTGTTGGAATAAATTATTTCTGTCCGCCCATTCCCCCAGGGATGGTGCTTGAGGTAGACATTCCCATAACTCGAGGACTGGTTTGAGGCCTGTCATTTAAATCACTTCTGGAGGCAAGGCAATAATGTTGCTTAGGCTACTGATACTCTTGGTTAAAAGGCTGATATCTACTCTTAATTCATTTCCTCAAGAAAGGCCTTTTGATTCGTCTTTACATCATGACTAATATGAAAATATGTTTAACGTGAATGCATGAGTAGAGCCTATATCAGATTGCATGCCGTCTTGGAGAATGGGGAAGAGAAGGAGGGGGAGAAAATTTAAAACTCAAAATCTTATGGAAGTGAATGTTGAAAACTAAAAACAAATTCATTAATTTTTGTTTTAAAAAGGCCTTTTGTCTTTGACCTAACCCACCTTCAAGCAAGGAAGTCTGAAAAGGATTTTACAAAAGAAAAGTAGTATTTCTTTAGAAAGAGGTTTATATTTTATCCTAGAAGCAAGAGGAGGGAAGCACTGCAGATTTTTAAGCAGGGACTTGACCCTCTCAGACCTCATGCAGGAAGAAGACTGGAAGCTTTAGGTCCCAACCCACCAATAACACGCTTCCCTTTCTCTTTCTAACAGCAGACTATGTGAACAGCAAGGGCATCAAGTTCTACAGTGATTTCATTGACACTCTTTTGGAAAATGGCATCACACCTATTGTGACCCTCTACCACTGGGATCTTCCACAGGTCCAGGGGACAACAGGGGAGGGGGTGTAGAGTCAGGACCTAAATGGACAAGGAGGCAAGAGAAATGTCCATTTTCCTCACAGATGGTGGGTTGAAAGAGATCTTTGCACTGATATTTGGCCCAGGGGTCTTAGAAAATGAGAAAATGAGAGCTATGGTTATGTATATATGTATATGCGTATTATTTGCGTATTTGTGTGTATGTATATAAGGTGTCACAAAAGTCTAAGGGCCTGTTATTATTTTATTTATAATTTATTTTCCTATTATTAAAAGCTTAAAATGGTACTAAGGCTTTTGGGACACCCTGCACATAAACATGTGTGTTTGTTGCATGTGCCAATGACACATATGAGGTGTGGGCCGTTGAGAAAATTGCTTAATCTTTCAACTCCCCAGCCTTTTCTCTAACACGATAAGTTACAGAGTAAAATTGTCCATTTGCATTTGGTAGAAGGAATTTCTACTTGAGTTCCCTATTTGGATGAAATTATGGGTCCTGATTTAAAATACATATATGTGTGTGTTTGTGTATGTGTATACACATAGTTATATAGTAGAAAAGTAATGCTGGTTTGGGGGTGAAGTCAACAAATTTTTTTAAGCACCTACTCTGTGCCAGAGACTGTACTACACTCAAAGATACAAAGGGATACAAAGAAAGGCCAAAAAGCCCCAGGCCCTTCCCTCAAAGACCTTACAATCCAATGGGAAGACAACATGTAAACAGCTATGTACAAACAAAATGTAGACAGGAAAAAATGGAGATATGATGGGAGGTAAGAAAAGGTGACTTTATTGGAGTTGGTTCCTTTCAAACCATTTCAAGCAAAATGGGCTAACGAATAGGCTTTATTTTTTTTTTGTCTCGACATATTGTAATACTCTCATGTTGTTAACATAACCACTTAATTACTCTGCATCTTAGTTTCTTCATTTATAAACTGACATCACAGAATGTTATAGTCCAAAGGAACTTTTAGGAATGAACTAGATGAGTGTTCACAATCTTTTCACATTTGAAGGCCATTTTTAAAATAATTTTTTCAATTAAGCCTTTATTTTCTCTCTTCCCTTGTCTTTCCAAAAACATTTGGAAAGAAGACAGAAAGAAAGACAGAAAGACAGAAAGAAAGAAAGACAGAAAGACAGAAAGAAAGAAAGACAGAAAGACAGAAAGAAAGAAAGAAAGAAAGAAAGAAAGAAAGAAAGAAAGAAAGAAAGAAAGAAAGAAAGAAAGAAAGAAAGTAAGAGAGAGAGAGAGAGAGAGGGAGGGAGGGAGGGAGGGAGGGAGGGAGGAAGGAAGGAAGGAAGGAAGGAAGGAAGGAAGGAAGGAAGGAAGGAAGGAAGGAAGGAAGGAAGGAAGGAAGGAAGGAAGGAAGGAAGGAAGGAAGAAAGTCCTTATAACAAAGGTGAATAGTTAAGCAAAACCAGTTCCCATATTGGCCATATCCAAAAATGTATATGAAGATCCTATTTTAATGTCAAAAAAAATCAAAGACCTTTACCTGACCTTGGCTGAAAAATGCATCATCCTGTAACCATGCTGGTGAAGAACCTTTCCAAATTTAGCTAGGTTGGTCCTTGAACAACAGGCACTGTTCTTAGGCCTGACTTTAAAATCTTTCCAGCTTAGTAGATACCATCATTGCTTGCATGCTACTGGCGCATTAGCATTTAAGAATTGGGTGGCCTCTACAATATGCAGAGGCAGTGGAGTAAGACTTAGAGGCTTTAATGAAGGACTAGTTCTTTATGGAAATAATAACCTCGATTTTTTTTCTCATCTCATTCCCCCCTCTTTTTATTCATCATGCATTCTAGCTTTCTGGCTAAGCTCCTCTCCTAATTTTTTTTTTATTCATTTAATATTTTTATGTTATTTCTCCAGTTCCAGAGTGCCTTTTTGCTTATATCATATACCTTTAACAAGATTTCCCTGTAACAAGACTCCATAAGACACCTTCCTTATGACTATGGGTTTTTTGTTTGTTTGTTTGTTTGGGGGGGGTTGTTTGTTTTGTTTTTATGGGGTTTTTTTGGGGGGGGGTTGTTTTTTGTTTTTTGCCACAGCAAATGGAAAAAGCCATCCACAGCGGCACAGTGGATAGAGCACAGGGCCTGGAGTCAGAAAGATCTGATTTCAAATTTGGCCTCAGACACTTACCAACTATGTGACCCTGGGCAAGTCACTTAACCTCTGTCTGCTTCAGTCTCCTCAACTAAAACGGAGAGCATAATTGCACCTTCCTCCCAGGGTTGTTGCAAGAAGCAAATGAGATAATAAAGTGCTTAGCACAGTTCCTGGCACATAGTAGGCCTTACTAAATATTTCTTCCCTTCTCCTTCCCTTTCTTTCCCAATTGGCTTCTAAATAATGTCTTTCATGACGGGGTCCTCAGAGATGTACTTCTCTCTCCCCTCCTATGCATCCAGATGCTTCAGGTCAAATTTGGAGGTTGGCAGAATGTAAGCATGGTCACCTACTTCAATGATTATGCCAATCTATGCTTTGAAAAGTTTGGGGACCAGGTAAAGCATTGGATAACTTTCAGTGATCCTTGGGTAAGTTGAATTATTTTTCTGAGCTATGGACCCTACTTTTAAAAACATTTTTTAATTGATTTTTTGTTTTTATATTGCCTAGATTTCCTCAAATATCCCTGTCTCACCCCTCCAAGAGAATCATTCCATATGACAAAGAATATAACCCCACTCTTTTCTAACACTGATTTTCACAGCTGTTTCCCGACTAATTGAGTTCCACTGCCCCCCCCCCTTATTCTTCTAGTCAGTTGCAAAGGAAGGCTATGAGACAGGACGACATGCACCTGGACTGAAGCTCAGAGGTACTGGGGCATACACAGCAGCGCACCATATCATTAAGGTAAAAATGAGACTGAAATCCTCACTGGGCTGCAGACTAAGGCTGAGGGAGGGAAAGTATGCTTCAAAGCAGAAGCACACTCAGGACTCTAAGGTCTCCCTATCCCTTTTACCTCATACCTTACTCTCGTATATTACTTTAACATGTTAGATAATGATCCATTGGCTTATGTATGCTGATTAAACAAGCATTTATTGAGCTACTACCCCATACTCACTGTGGTAAGTGCCATAGGCAGAAATACAAAGATGTATCTGTAAAACATGGCAGCTGCTCTCAAGAAATTTCCAATCTAGGAGCAGTGAGGTGGCGCAGTGGATAGAGCACTGGCCCTGGAGTCAGGAGGACATGAGTTCAAATCTGGACTCAGACACATAACACTCACTAGTTGTGTGACTCTGGGCAAGTCATTAACCCCAACTGCCCTCACCAAAAAAAAAAAAATTCTATCTAGTTGAGGAGACAGTAAGTACCCACCCGAAACCTTTAACAAGGCATGTCATTGGTTAATGAATACATACTTCCTTTTGTTTTCTCTAATGAAATATTTAGTATTTACATAACTATGGCAAAGTCAGCAATACTGCTACTATACACAGTGAAGGGCTCCCTGCCCCGCAGCCAAGTGGCCTTCTTCCCAAAACTTTTTTCAACTCCTTTGTATATATTTGTATTTCTTTACCTTATGCTTCTGTTCTCTGTATTTATATTTATTATCTTCTCCCATTAAAATGGAACCTCCTTGTGAGTAGGCATTGTTTCACATATTGTACTTATATCCCCAGCACCTAGCCCACAGCCTGGCACATATGAGGCACTTAATAAATGTGTTTTGACTGATTGGATTGGATTGTAATTAGTGGTGGACATTGAAAATGGAGAATCTGGATCTCCAGATTCCCAGCACAGTTGTCCTTCCATTGGCTATACAAAAAGTATAGCTTTTGCCTAGATGCCCCTGGGGGACAAATCTCTGGGGATTCTGGCCAGAGTGGCCCTAGACAGAACTGATCAGGAAGTAAAGTTCATCTTTCACATCTTGTATTTGCCCTTGGTGTATTTCACATGATCTCTTGCCACCCCATTCCATGTGCCCATGGGCCTCATGTTACCTCCTTCCCCCCAATTCTGCCTCCCAGTCAAGGACTCATTACTATTGCACCCCAGTGCCTGTCCTGAATGGTAATGTTCCATCATTCAGAACCGACAAATGTTGGTGGGAAGAGAAAATCCTGAGCTCCAGATAATCTGACCTATCCTAAATATGAAAAATGAGTATTAATTATTCATTAAACATTTATTAAGCACCTACTATATGCCAGGCACTGTGCTAAGTTCTAGGAATACAAAAAGAGGCAAAATTCTCCTCTCCTCAAGATTACAATTAAATGGGGCATAGAACATGCAAACAAATCTATACAAAGCAAACTATGTATAGGATAAATAGGAGATATTTAACATATATTTAATTAATTTCATAGAGTGAAGGCACTAGAATTAAGAAGGGTTAAGGAAGTTTTCCTGCAGAAGTTCAGATTTTGGGGCAGCTAGGTGGTGCAGTAGATAGAGCTCTGGCCCTGGAGTCAGGAGGACCTGAATTCAAATACAGCCTCAGACATATAACACTCACTAGTTGTGTGACTCTGGGCAAGTCACTTAACCCCAACTGCCTCACATTAAGAGAAAAAAAAGTTAGGATTTTAGTTGGGACTCTTTTAGGTAATATTTATAAGTTTAAGGGAGTTAGGTGGTGCAGTGGATAGAGTACCAGGCCTGAAGTTAGGAAGACTCATCTTCCTGAGTTCAAATCTGGCCTCAAACACTTACTAATGTGACCCAGGGCAGTCACTTAACCCTATTTGCCTCAGTTTCCTCATCTATAAAATGAGCTGGAGAAGAAAATGGCAAACCACTCCGGCATTTTTGCCAAGAAAATCCCAAATGGAGTCACAAAGAGTCAAACACACCTGAAACAACTGAACAACAACAAAATATTAATGTTAAGGGGGCTTCTGGGGCCAAGACCTTAACTTCAAAAGACTCTAATGGGGGTGTTGGAGACTATGATAGGTCAATAAGACAGATACTTGAGGGCAAGGAAGCCTTTTGGCAACCCTCAAAATTACATTGGCCCCAAGGGTCTCATTCTAGAAAATGTAAATCATTCACATATTAGCCAAAGAATAGCATAACCTTGCAACTAAAACAAGTATCACACTATTTCTGGCATTATGGCCAAATGACTAATGACTAAGAGTTCCTCCTATCCTGGCACTTCAAGTAGAAGTCATGACCAAGTGGTCCAGTTGAAATACATAGAGATCTTCCCATGCAGAATGAAGTCTTGCTGGCTGCCACATGGTGTTACTATTCTTCCAAAGCCTGTTTTTCTCTGTGGCCAAACCCCACAGAGACCTCATTACTTATCAGTACCTAGCACTCTGCTGAGTGGTCACACTCATAGAAAAGCATTAAATGGATGGGATCCACCAACTTTAGGGCCTTTTCATTTATAAATTCATGTATTCAATGCTTATTAAATGCCTACCATGTAGTATAAGCAGTGGTATGCTGGTAATGTTTAACAACTGGTTCTTGGGGGGAGAATGTACACAATACACACATTTAATTTTAACCTGTATTGCTAACATTTACTTCATCACTTTCTTAAGTCTAGACAATCAACACAATAATCAAGCAAGCCCTGATTTATAGTTTTTGCCAGTTTCTGAGGTATAAATGCTCACACTGAAAATTTAACAATGGATTCTCCTGGACTAGTTCAAGCTGGCTCCAGCACACTGAGAGTATAAGTGACAACACTATGTTGTCACTTATACATATAAAGGATACAAAGATGAAAAATAGTTTAGGCCCTGCTAAAAAAAAGAGAGAGATATTGTAGAGGATACAACATACGCACAAATGTTATAGAATGTGATGGGGTAAAGGTGAGATCCAGGCAAAGTGGATCAGGAAGATTTGAGAAAGAGATGACTTTTTGTAGGGAATGGCATCAGAGATGGACCTCAAAAGAAGAAAAGCACTTTAACACAGAGAGAAGATGGCCCACACAAATTCATTGGGGCAAAAAATAAGACACATACCTAGGACTCTAATGTGCCTGAAATGAAAAGCACACGGATGGGAGTAATGTGAAATAATGCTGGAAAAAGAAGTTGGAGTCAGATTGTAGATGGCTTTAAAAATCAGTATTTTAGCCAATAAGAAGGTACTGAGGGGCAGCTAGGTGGCGCAGTGCATAGAGCACTGGCCCTGGAGTCAGAGGACCTGAGTTCAAATCCAGCCTCAGACACATAATCACTAGTTGTTTGACTCGGAGCAAGTCACTTAACCCCAATTGCCTCAAAGAATAAAAAAAGGTACTGGAGTTTTTTGAGAAGGGATGCAACTTGGTCAAACTTATAAATTAAAAAAACCCTATATTTTGGCCATTTGGGGAGAATGGACTAGAAGCTGAGAAACTAGTTGGGAGCCCATTACATTAATTCAAGGAAAAGGTAATGAGGGCCTGAATTAGGTGTCCGTGAGAGGAGAGGAGAAGATGGATATAAGATATGTGGTAGAAGGTGATCTTTGCAATGACTGGATTTGGTGGGCAAGTGGGAGATGAGACAAAAACAACTCCAACATTTCAGGCTTGTGTAACTGGGAAAAGTATGGTGCCATCAGCAAAAATAGGAAAGGTAGGAAGAACAGCAAGTTTAAGGGAAGTTAAGTTCTACTTTGGACATGTTGGATTTGAAATGCCATCATGAGATGTGGAAATATGTGGCAGGCAGATGGAGGTAGGATTGAAGCTCACAAAAGAGTCTAGGACTGAATATATAAATCTGGGAGTATTCCGCAGAGGCAATAACTGAAACCATGGGAGAGGAAGGGATTGCCAAGAGAATTAGCATAAAGAGGAAAAAGGATCGAGGACAGAGCCTTAGAGGACACCCAGTTTTAAAGGCAAGAAGAAGCTCATGAACCAGAGAATGTCCCGATTCTCCAGAAGAGGAGGATCAGGAAACAATGGTGGCAGTATATTTAGCAGTAAAGGGGAAGAGATATGAGATGATACCTTGAGGGGAGGGCCAAAGCAAGACAAATTTTTTGTTTTCCTTTTTGGGAGATTGAGCACGTTTGTAGAAGTAGGGAAAGCTCCAGTACAGTGGGAGAGGTTGAAGATGATAGAGAAAGAATGAGATTGGGAGAAAGAGAGAGAAATGATCAGTGGCCCTAGAGGAGTTGGAAAGAGATGATGAGCAAGGGAGCAAGTGGCAGTGTTAGACAAACAGCAACTTACCTTTTGTCTTAGAGGCATAAATACTTCTCAAATCATCTGTAATCATTCTGTAAAGATTTGTCTATGCTAAGCTAATAGGTCAGCTTTCTTTACTATAATACTTAGCAAAAAAAAACCCAGTCAACTCTATTATCCACTTATGGATTATAAAATTGGATTATATTATAAAAATGGATTATAAAATTATAAAATAGAGTTCTTAAAATTATCTACAATGAATTCTTAATCTTGGGCTGACTTTCCCCTCATCACTCAGCATGCTACCACCCAGAATCTATATTCTCAGGCAATGAACATTCATTTAATTTTAGCCCAAGAGAAACATAGCCAGAAAGATAAATATACTGCAAATGCCATTAAGCACTGCAAAGCCAAAAAGTTTTTGGATTATTTGATGACTTGGATTACCCCACTATGATTAGTCTCCATTACTGTAGATGGTTTAGAACTAAGAGTGGAGAGACTGTAGACTGTATGTAAAAGGCAGAGAAGGGAGTCACAGAAGCTGGAGTAGGACAGCTAGTCTTTATATAGCTCTTCAAGGTTTGCAATATTAATTCATTTTTTCCTCTTGCAACAACCCTGGGAAGTAGGAGCTATTATTATCCTAATATTACAGATGAGGAAACTGAGGCAGAGAGCAGTTAAGTGACTTGTCCCAGGTCATACATCTAGTGTCTAAGGTTGAATTTGAACTCAGCTCTTTCTGACTCCAGTTTACTGTGCCACCTAGCTACCTACTAGAACTTGACTTTGAAGTAGAACTTGGTCTTGAACTATTAGAACTTGACCTTGAGTGATGGGATGACCTAAATAAAAAAGCAGGGAGAAGGTACCGAGGATAAGGTAATAAAGGGGGTTTGAAAGGAAGAGCAACATTCATTCAACTATTTATTAAATACCTACTATGTGCAAAGGAAGCCCTGCTCTTAGTGCTAGGGAGTATACAAAGATACTTAAAATATGGTTCCTGCCCTCATGGTGCTTAGGAGCTAGCAAGAGGCATTGTAAGAGTGTGTTCTTTTCCTTCTAGTCCCATGCAAAGGTCTGGCACTCTTACGACAAAACCTGGCGCAAAAAACAGCAAGGTAAGCCTCAGACATTTAGAACCCACAAACAGAATTGGAACAAACACAGGCTCTGTCAGGTGACACGTTCCTTTATATTTTTCCCCTTTTCCCAAAGGACTGGTGGGTATTTCATTAACCTGCAACTGGGGGGAGCCCGTGGACATTACCAACCCAAAGGACATCGAGGCTGCTGAAAGATACATGCAGTTCTGTTTAGGCTGGTTTGCAAACCCCATTTATGCAGGAGACTACCCCCAAGTTATGAAGGACTACATTGGTGAGTAAGCTGGACTCTTCCTATCCCAACTGGAGGGGCAATGTGGTAGATTGCATTGTTTGGCTAAACTGGGAATCAGAAGATCTGGGTTCTAGTCTCTGCAAGTCATTTCTTCCATTCAGACTGGAGATTAATAAAGTTCAGTTTCCTCCCAACTCTTTCATTCCATAATTCTAGCAGAATGGACAACTAGGTGGTGCTGTTGATAGAGATCTGGGCTTAGAATCAAGAAGACTCACCTTCATGAGTTCAAATCCAGCCTCAGACCTTTACTATCTGTGTGACCATGGGCAAGTCACTGAACCCTGCTTGCCTCAGTTTTCTCATCTGTAAAATGAGCTGGAGAAGCAAACAGCAAGCCACTCTAGTATCTTTGCCAAGAAAACCCCAAATGGGGTCATGAAGAGTCTGACACAACTGGAAAACAACCAAATAACAACAAATAGAATAGTCATGAACCTACTGTTACAGTGTTCATGTGAAAAGAATAAAAAGCTGGGGAAACAGAAGTAAGATAAATGGTAGTAAATGGCCTAGATAAGCCATAAACTGGATAATAAGCCACCAAAGAATAGGGAATTAACTGTTTCTATCCGGAAAGCAACCTAAGAATACTGAGAAAATGAGCTCACCAATTACTTAGATTTTTTTTCATTCCTGTGTTTTCTTCCTTTTTTACTTCTCTCTTCTTGTCCCTCAAACAATCTCTCGTCCCTTTTTTCTCTCTTAAGCTGCAGGAAAATGAAAGGGGAGTAAAAATTTTACTTGGGTTTGTTTGTTTTTGTTTGCTTTTTTGAGACTGAGTCTTCCTATCTTGCCCAGGCTGAGACTACTTGTGGGCCCAATGTATGATTCTGAAGGACTCACCACCCAGAAAGATGTAGTCTAAGAGATTAGATGTGGATGATATTTACCTGCTCTTCCAGTGTCTCCAGACAGAATTAACCTGTTCAAATCATGACACTGTCTACAAGGCATTATCTTTCATATCCTCTTAAGACACAGTCAGGAAGAACCATTGGATTAGACCACGCACAACCAGAAGAAATCAGTGCTAGAGGCAATTTTGCTGTTCAGTTGTGTCAGACTCTTCGTGACCCCTTTTGGGGTTTTCTTAGCAAAGATACTGGCGTGGTTTGCCATTTCCTTCTCCAGTTCATTTTACAGATGAAGAAACTGAGGCAAACAGGGTTAAGTAACTTAGCCAAGGTCATACAACTAGTAAGTATCTGAGGCTAGATTTGAACTCAGGGCTTCCTAACTCTAGGCCTGGCATTCTATCTTTTGCACCAACTAGATGCTATTGCTAGAGACGATACAACTGTTTAAAAAAAAAAAAACACTTGGGAACGGATATTCAAGAAAACTCAGAATAGGAAAGATTTTTTTAAATGGAAAAACTCATGGATGGTGTTCTTAATGGGGGAAGGGAGGATATAAGCATATAGCACCTACCACGTGCCAGGCACTGTGCCAAGCACTTTACGAATATCATCTCATTTGATCCTGATGACCACCCAGGGAAGTAGGTGCTATTATTATTCCCATTTTACAGTTGTGAAAACTGAGGCAAACAGCATTAAGTTACTTGCCCAGCATCACACAGCTAGCTCTGAGGCTGGATTTGAACTCATCTTGCTGGCTCCTGGCCTGGCATTTTAGCTAGCTGCCTCAAGGGAGAATAAGTAATGGTATCAAACTACAATAAAAACAGGGGCCACTAAACTGATATTATCTACGTGTTATTGTATTTCCAATTTATTTATTTATTTGTTTTTTATTTTTTATTTATTTTGTTAAATATTTCCCAATTAAATCTGAATCTGGTTCAGACCATAGTTGGGAGTGTTGTGGGCTGCACTATAACCTGCCATGTGTTTGACACCTCTGGTTAAAAGGACAGTGGTCCACATGCCTGCTTTCTCATGGCTGTAAAACCTTTCAGGATAGTCTATATATTCACTAAGGGCAAACATAAACTTAAGCAAATATGAGGGTATTCACATATAAAATCATATCTTTATAGTTAGATAATCACCTGAGAAGCACAGCAAATACAAGACCTTGCTATCTGTCTACTCTAACCAGTTCCTTGCTGGCTACCTTAAAAAAACAAACAAACAAACAAAGAACCAACTGAATGATGCAGTCAGGATCCAAAAAGATCTTGGAATATCTGTAATAAAATTAGATTCCCTTATTTAATGGGGATAAATAGAAAGTCTTATTATTTTTTTTTTTTTGCTTTTAGGCAATTGGGGTTAAGTAACTTGCCCAGGGTCACACAGCTAGTAAGCGTCAAGTGTTTGGTTTGAGGTCGCATTTGAACTCAGGTCCTCCTGACTTCAGGGCCGGTGTTCTATCCATTGCGCCACCTAGCTGCCCCTACATTCCTTTTTTTTAAAAATTTTTATTAATTTATTTTGATTTATCAGTAATCACCTCCATATGCTTTTGAGTTTAAAATTTTTCTCCCCCTTCCTCCCCACCATCCTCCCCAAGACGGCGCACGATCTGATATAGGCTATGCATTTACATTCCTGTTAACATATTTTCACATTAGTGGTGTTGTAAGTAAAAATTAAAAGCAATAGGAGGAACCATCAGAAAGAGGAAACAAAACTCAACAGAAGTAAAAAAAATAGCAATTCAACTTCCGTTGTTCTTTTTTTGGATGTGGACAGCATTTTCTATAACAAGCCCTCTGGAGATGTCTTAGATCCTTGTACGGCTGGGAAGGGTTAAGTTTATCTATATTAGTCATCACACAATGTGGCTGTTATTGTGTACAACATTCTCCTGGTTCTGCTCACTTCACTCAGGATCAGACCATACAAGTCTTTCCAGGTTTTTCGAAGTCAGCCTGTTCATCATTTCTTATAGCACAATAGTATTCCATTACATTCATATACCACAACTTGCTCAGCCATTCCCCAATTGATGGGCATCATCTCAATTTCCAATTCTTTGCCACCAAAAAAAAGAGCTGCTATAAATATTTTTGTACATGTGGGTCCTTTTCCCATTTGTATGATCTCTTTGGGATATAGCCCTAGAAGTGCTATTGCTGGATCAAAGGGTATGCACATTTTTATAGTCCTTTGGGCACAGTTCCAAATTGTTCTCCAAAATGGTTGGATCATTTTACAACTCCACCAACAATGTATTAGTGTTCTAATTTTCCCACATCTTCTCCAACATTTATCATTTTCCTGTTTTGTCACGTTGGCCAATCTGATAGGTGTGATGTGGTACCTCAGAGTTGTTTTGATTTGCATTTCTCTAATCAATAATGATTTAGAGCACTTTTTCATATGACTATAGATGGCTTTAATTTCTTCATCTGAGAACTGTCTGTTCATGTCCTTTGACCATTTATCAATTGGGGAATGGCTTGTATTTTTATAAATTTGACTTAATTCTCCCCATATTTTAGAAATGACCGCCCTTATCAGAGAGACTGGTTGTAAAAATTCTTTCCCAATTTTCTACCTTCTTTCTAATCTTAGTTGCATTGGCTTTGTTTGTACAAAAACTTTTCAATTTAATGTAATCAAAATTATCCACTTTGCTTTTCGTAATGTTCTCTGTCTCCTGTTTGGTTATGAATTCTTCTGTTCTCTGTAGATCTGATAGATAAACTGTTCCATGCTCTCCCAGTTTGCTTATAGTACCAGCCTTTATATCTAAATCATGAACCCATTTTGAGAAAGTCTCACATTTCTGTTCAAGAAATTGACTTCATAAATATAAGACGGAGGAGGTACAGTTAGATGTCTCCCCCATCTTTAAAAACCTCCTCCTTGATTCTCCTGTTCCCTCTCCTTCAGATATCATGCCATATTCCTATTCCATTTCATAGCCAAACTTCTAGAAAAATTCCTCTACAACATTTGTTGCCCCTACTTCCTTACTTCCTACTTACTGAGTCACATTTCAGATTTAAAGGGACCTTGGTGGTCATCTAGGGCAATACATGGTGGAATACTCTATATGACATAGCAAACAAATGGTCAACAAACCCCTGCTTGAAGACCAGCATTAAGGGGAAATCCACTAGCTCCTGAAGCTGCCCATCTGACTTTTGAATAGTTCTAATTGTTATTAGGGTAGTGAAGTGGCACAATGCATAGAGTGACAGCCCTGGAGTCAAAAGGACTCATCTTCATGAGTTCAAATCTGGCCTCACATGAATTGTGTGGCCCTGGCCCTGGCACTTAGCTGTGTTCGCCTCAGATTCCTCATCTGTAAAATGAATTGAAGAAGGAAATGGCAAACCACTTCAGTATCTTTGTCAAGAAAACCCCGGATGGGGTCATGAAGAGTCAGAAACAGCAGAACAACAACAATTGGTAGGCAGTATTTCCTAAAACAAGCCTAAGTTTCCTTCTTTGCCACTTCCACCCATTGTTCCCAGGTCAAGCAGAACAATCCATAGCATAATCCTTTCAAATATTCGAAGTCATTTATCCTGTCTTCCTTGGGTCTTCTTTAGGCTAAACATCCCCAGTTCTTTCAACGGTTCTTCCCACGGCATGAATTTGAGGCGCTTTGCCATTCTGGTGACCTTCCTTGGGATGCTCTCCAGCTGATGAGTGCCCTTTCTTCCATTAGATTGTGAGTTCCTCAAGGGCAGGAACTATCTTTTACCTTTCCCCGTATCCCTGGAGCTTACTGCGGTGCCTGGAACATAGGTGCTTAATAAATGCTTTATCGACTGAACACAGTGCTCCAAATGTGGTCTCACCGGGGCAGGCTACCCTGGAGCTAAGAGCTCCTTCTTTGTGTGAGCTGTGCTCTCTTCATGCAGTCCGAGGCCACCTCTGATCGTTTGGCAGGAGCGCCACGCTGTTGATTGATGTTGGAGTGAACTCTACTAAAACCTGCACGACTTTTTCAGACACACGATCTAACCGTACCTCCTCCATCTTATGTTTATGAAGTCAGTTTCTTGAACATAAATGTAAGACTTTGTATTTATCCCCATTAAATAAGAGAAT